CCAGGCCCTGGGTAGTCTCACTCATTCACCAGGCCTGTGCTCTGGGTCTGCTCAGGATCCAGCGACCCCGGGTCTTCTCCCCTCTGCTTATTTCTGCCAGTCAGAGATGAATGAATAAAGTTCTTTTCAGAGCGTGAGCTCGACCCACCAGCCATAGTAAACCACCTGACTCTCCTTGCTGTGCTGAGGGGTAGAGAGCCTCAGACTGGAACTGAAACTTGCTGGTCATTTCTTCAGTGCAGCAGGCAGGGACAATTAATCCCAGGTTTGTCAAACTGATGCTCAGAACTTCTACTTTCCCTGTTGGGACATCCCATACAGTTGTAATGTGGGAATCTTGGTCCTGAGCTCTAGTTTCTGCCTCTGAGAAGGAAAATGTAGCAACTGGAAATGATAAAACATGGTCCTACAGGCTGACTCCTCTGACTAATGATTTCTTCCTGTTCCTTTCCTTAGTCCATGTCTCTCAGAACTCCTCCCTATCCTTGTTTCTCTTTTAACCTCTTGTGCTTCTCCCTCTACTCATTTGAACAGATATAATGAATCTGTTATCTATTGCCCGGTGAAATTTAACCCAGTAAGTCCTGTCCTCTGTTTAAATTGTGTCTATGGCATGTCCCCTCCTTGGCTCCCTGTCTCCTTAATCTCTTGTGGCAGACAGTTCTAGGAAAGTCTTTTGCTCACACCCCGACCATGATTGTCTTTAGTTGCATAAGGCAAACTTAGGGTCTACTTTTACTGAGGGTGGCAGCTCTGCCTCACATATTTGCATTTCGATATACTAGACAAGAATCCTTTCAAAGGACCAGTTCTACACTGCAGCATAAGGACGTCATCACGTGAAACCGATCTGTCCAGAACAGTTAGTCAGAGGGAGGAAAAACATGCTGAACTATGACGTGTTTAACACTGAAGGTTTTGTTGAAAAAGTCACAAATTCGCTTTCACTTTAAAATGCTTTAAGACTAGCAAGGATCACTCTTCCAAGTGTAATTGTTGGTCTTCCAGCTGAGTGGATGACTAGCCCCAATTTTATTTTTCATTTTTCACGCAAGGACATCATACTCTAGTGTTTATTTGTTGCTTTATGTGTGTCCATTGTTTCTTGTTTCCTGACTGTTCCATCTTCTCAGTAAGACTGCAAACCCGTGGGAGCCTGGTGTTGAATCAAAGATCACTTTGCTTCCCTCAATCGTCTTAACAAACTTTTAAAATCTGTAGGTTGCCTTCATAGCTTTGTCAGCAGTGAGCTCCGGATTCCAGGCTAAGTCATGTCACACACGGCACTGTTTCCTCATCGCTGCTTTTCTTTTCTGTATCCCTCAACTCAGGCAACTTCTGTTAACGTACCTAGTTTTCATCTGCATTCTTAAAGCAGAAATAATATCCGAAAAATATCAGAAAAATGCAAGTGTCATTACGATTTCTCATTTTATTGGAGTCATAAGACCTCAAATATATTACTTCTGTGTGTTAATGCCCTTGTATTCCCAGTGTGTCAAAACCAAACCAAATTAACAACAAAAATAACACAGGACAACCTTTCACTTTATTTCAAATTTAATATATTTGAAAAAGAAACGACTTTTCCAAGAAACAAGTTTCTGCACACTCATACATAAAATAGATCTCCTGGATTTCTACAGAATAGGAAATCACACAAATATAAGGAAGAATTCTGCTAAATTATGTGTTAGTAGTAGGGTATCTTTACCAATGGGGACAAACACATGAAAAGGAAGAATCTATGCTGGCTTTAGATGTTTCTCCACTTTGGATCCTCTTAAGTGACCTTTTGAAATCTTTTGACTACATTTTGGTATATAGTACCTGCCACTAAAGAATACTCATCCGATTCTGCAGTATTTTAAAAGCAACACACTCTTAAATAAATAGAAAAAGACCTAGTTTTTCATCAGCCTCCCTTCATTTTACGAGAATATCATGGAGTCCCAGTACACTAACTTCAATTCCTTCTTCTTCTCACTACACATACCCAAATCTATCTATAGATACCGATACAATTTATGTATTTTAATGTCCTGGGAAGAGATAGAAGTGTTTTGTCAAAGTCACTCTATCGGTAGTGGGCATCTGTTCCACAGGCTCTGGTACTTCAAATGAAAATTGAACCTAGAAGAGAAGAAAAGTTTTTTGACCTTTTTATTTGAATTGAGAATCATAATTTGGTCTAGTAAAAAAAACTAATAGATAGATAGATAGATAGATAGATAGATAGATAGATAGATAAACCAACAGTATCTGCATCTCTCAGAACCATAGCACATAGCATATCTGAGCATAGAAAGACCTCACAGACTTCCAACTTCTGCAGCTGGATCTCTTAGCTATGATGGACACAGGCAAAATAGAGTCTCATTTCTCTGCTCATGGTGGATCAAAGTTGAAGTAAGTGAAAATTTCCTAGGGGTCGTGGATCGTAACTCCTTGGAGCTCACATCCCTGTTTGCTGACTCCTGAAAACCCTTCAAAGTTCCTTTGGACAGAGTAGCATTATTGGCAGGTAAAAATGGCCAGAACTTCCTTTTAAGATTCCAGCAGGAAAATATAGCCCAAAGCCTGTCAAGTAGAGAAGAAGAAACCTTTAGAACCTCACCTTTTGGAAAATTTCCTGCAGGTCACAGCACCAGGCATACTCTTGCATAATTTCAATAAGTTTTATAGCAAAAAGAGAGCCCCTTTCAGGATGTCGCCAAGAAATATTATCTGTAAATGAAGCACATGCCAGGTCTATGGCCAGCGTTGGCTGGGACACACAGAGAGCTCCAGTACTTCCACTCCAGCTTTTGCGTGTTATGGAGCATATCCTGCTCTTTGTATGCTGCCTGCCATTTTTCAATGAATATGTTCTGAGTGAGTGAGTATATTTTATGTACAGGCAAGACAGTTCTGTATACAGTGTGGGTATCATAGTCTTATTTAAGGGTGATGGAAATAAAATAGACAGTGGAATGTGCAGATGACAGAGGGAGGGTTAGTTGGATCAAACATCTCAAGTTTGCTATTTAATGCCTTTTATTTTAATTGTGGCCAAACTATAAAGGGTGGAATTAACCGCTGCAGTAGCAAAGAGATATTTGAGGAACAGGTATGATGCAACATAAGTATGTGACACATAGAGGATTGTGAAATTGGAATGCTAAGTAAGGATGAAAATGATACCAACATAGTGAAGCAGGCACAGAGGATAAGTTTACCTCTAATTGGAGAAAACAAAGGTATTACAGGGAAGAGAGTTATGGAAGAGAAATAGTGCAATTACAAATAGTGCAGACATTTAAAAATTGTGCAAGGTCTACAGAGAAAAATCAGTAGGAACAGATACATATATTCAAGGACACATCATTTAACCAAATCTTTTTAGTCAATAAAA